CCCATTTGCCCTCATACTTCGAGTTTCGTGTGAATGTTCTTTAGTCGCACATGACATCGTTTTTTCTTCACTCTAATGATTTCCTTTGTTTCTTGTAGTTAGATGAACTGGTCGTGAATTTTTCCAGGTTCTGTGTATCCTAGAATGTGTGTGTGTGTGTGTGTGTGTGTATTACATAATGTACAAATAACCTTGGTTAAACTAGGTACCTTCATGTGGTACATTATAGGTGCCATGTTTAATTATATGGGATTTTGTGTCTGTAATGTGCAAATGCAATCTAGTAACAAAGAGCAAGAAATTGGGCATATTGACAAAGCTCATCTATCTCAATGATCACTTTAATAGTGGCTTGAGAAGCCAGTGGTCTTAAAACTATCTTCTTCCATCATTAAAACACACTATAAAGAGAAAGACTGATTTCAAGAATATATATTGCTGACTGGGTAATTGGGTTTGATCTTTAAGGACAATAACTGCAATTAAGAGAACAGCCCTGGATGTTTTCATTCTTGGTTCGAATGGCCAGAGCCAAATGTAAAAGAGGAAAATTCTCTCAAGCTGCATGTTCTGGTGCTCTATCCGCATCCAGTTTTGATTCTATAGAAGTAGAACCATTCCTTTCAATAATGAAAACCTGATCCCTCATTCCTTCAATGAGGCAGATGTCTGCAATATGAAATGTAAGGGTAAGTGGATGTTAAAATCCCACTTGCATTCTTCAAGACTGCTTTGTTTGGAAGGACATCGCTCATGGCTCATTGAATGGCATTTACTTCCTGATAACCCGAAAGATCTGATGTGCATCCCTTACTACCCCCAGGAAGAGTTAAAAATGAGAGGATCTGAAACAGTGCACAACATGTAGAAACATACATGTGTCATCATGTATGGTACAAATGGACAATTCGGAGTTGTTAAGTCCATGTCATGACCTGTGGCCTTCTAGAAATTCACATGATTTCTTGGAGACCTCCTTTACATCTATTCACTGAAGAGCTGCTTGGGTCACACTCTGAAAGGCCAGGGTCCTGATTGTCTACTCATGCCATGCCCTGTGCATTTGAACTTACAGACTGAGCTAACCCAGAGTAGCTAATTAAAAATCTCGGAGGTAAGTTTCTGGTAGAGCTTCAAGCATTAAAATTCTCCTACCAAAGTATTTTGGCTGATTTTTTGCATCGCTCCAGGCTTGGTCAGGCTGAAACAGGAGTTTCTTGAGTAATGTGTGATCACCTAGGTTAGGGGGAAGAGGCAAGCCTTTCTTGAGGCCATACTGTCTGGCTTTGAACTTGGCTTTCCCACTTGCTCCAAGAATCCTTGGCTGCTTAAGCTCATCGAACATCAGAGTTCTTATCTGTGAAATGTGCGCAGCAGCAGTGCCTGCCCCAACAGCCGCACTTAGGGACACTGAAAGGGCCTGAGCACACGTCACACCCATGCATGTCCTCCATTTCATCTCTTTCAGAGAAGTTGTACTGTTCTCTGAACCTCTGCACCCATAACTGTCCATATCACACAATTTGTCCTTAAGGTCATGTTACTGTACATCACTTCCTGTCATTCCTGAGGCAGATTTGGGCTTACAGAGATTGGTTTGACTTTCATAGCATTTTCCCCAGAAGAACTGGAGAGTTTTAAACATGATTTGAATGCCTCTTATATTTACACCCAATTGTTTATTTGTTTATATACAAAGATATTATTTTCAGTAAGTTGTGCACAGGACTCAGAAGATTGGAATTAACGAACCACTCCCTGGAGGTCACAATGCCATCTTTCAGTGAGGAAATCTTCCTGGGAGAGTCACAGGTTGCTGGAAATGATCAGACCACATGAAAAGAAAGCCAGACTTTTGTCAACCCAAACCCAAAGATTCGTGATAAATACCAAATTTGATAGATTCTTCTAAGTTTTTCCTCTAAAGACATTCCATTTTCTGTGTAGAAATTTTCTAAGAACTACTCAGTAGTAATTAGGACATGAAATCCTGACAGAAGGGTGAGATGGCCAGTTTATTTACTGGCTTGTTGGCTAGTTTTACTGAGTTACACCTATTTCCCTCTCCCCAGTTGTAAGAGTGTGTCTTTCTAGAGGGCAAAGCTACATCCAGGTCTGCAGCCTTCCTCTAAGTAGAGCTCCATAAACACTGTTCAGCTGTCTTGGAGCTTTCTTCTCCACACTCTAAATGCTCCTGAAGATCTCATTATCAGCTAATTTTTACACATAATTTTTCCTTAAACTTTCACAATTATGGTCCTTGTTTGCATAAATTAAACTGAAGAAGCTTTCCCTTATCTCTGGACTTAATGGATCTTTTTTCTAGTGCTGGATTCTTATTCTCAGAGGCCTTGGTCATCCTTCCATGTTCTGTGGTCCTCACATGGAACTGCCCTTGCATTCCCAGAATATCCTTAATAACATGAAACCTCTAGGCTGTGTAACAAGAACAAGATAAATTTGGCAAAGATAAATAATGTTTTGGAACAGAGACTTGTAAGACTTTTAAAATGGCAGATATTTGCTTTTTGTTATTTATTTATTTATTTATTTATTTATTTATTTATTATGTGTATGAGTGTATTGCCTGGATGTGTGTAAGTGCACCCATGTCAGGCAGTGCCCTTGGAGGTCAGAAAAGTGCATCAGATCCCCTGGAACTGGAGTTACAGATGGCTGTTAGCCCCTATGTGGGTGCTGGAAATTGAACCCTGGGTCCTCTGTGAGAACAGATAGCGCTCTAACTACTGAGCCATCTCTCCAGCCCACAATGATTAATTTTAAATAAATATTTTAAAATTTATTTGGGGGGCTTGGAGAGATGGTTCAGAGGTGAAAAGCACTAACTGCTCTTGCAGAGGACCCAGGTTCGATTACCAGCATCCACTTGGAGGCTACGGACAGCCCTTAACTCCAGTTCCAGGGGAATCTGATGCCCTCTTCTGACCTCTATGCCATTGCACAACACGGGTGCACTCACATACATGCAGGCAATACACTCATAAAATAAAAATAATAATAAAAAATAATTTATTTGGTTACAACCCACATAAAGGAAGGTCTTTGGAGTCTCTAGTAGTTTTCAAACCAAAGTGTTTGAAAATCACTGAATCTAGTCAAATTGTACCATTAAGAGACAGAAAATGGGGGGGCAGGTTTCCAAAATTTCTGGAACTTTCCCAAAGTGACGGCAATTTTGCTGCAGAGCCATGAACAAGAAAAGAGTTTCTGATTCTTGGTCCGGTGTTCTTTCCATTATTCTGAGCAGGTGGGGGTTGCGGCTTGTAGCATGTCTGAATTTGAACATTTCAATGCATATGTATTTTGCTAAGGCTGTGTCTTTGCTGGGACCCATCCTCAGGTTATTTTAGTAATGTCTTCACAAATAAACATAATTTTCAGATGGGTTCTTTACAGTGTGAACATTGCCAGGAGCAAGAGGGTTTTTTTTTTAATTAAAATTTTTTTTATTTATTATTTTTATTTTATGTGTATGCATGTATTGCCTGCATGTAGGTAAATTGCACCCGTGTCGTGCAATGCCTGTGAGGACAGAAAAGACTGTCTGATCCCCTGGAACTGGAGTTACATCCCCTGGAACTGGGGTTAAGAACAGTTGTTAGCTGCCATGTGGCTGTTGGGATTCAAACCCAGGTCTTCTGCAAGAACAGTCAGTGTTCTTATCTGCATCAGTGTTCTTAACTGCTGAGTCATCTCTCCAGCCCCATCAAGAGGGTTCTTAATAAAAATTTAAAAATAATTTATCTAAGTCAACAATTCTGAAACCTAATTTGGGTTAATTCTGTAGTGATACTAGATTTGATTTGGATTTAATTTATAACTGGAAACATATTTTAAGACAATGCCAAAGGCAGTTATTTTTAAAAGTTTACTACTATGTGAGGTGGCACATGCATATAATCCCAGTCCTTGGGAAGTGGAGGGAAGAGGATCAGGAGTTCAAGACCAGATCTGAGCAATGCTTGAGACTGTAACCCCCAAATATATAAAATAAATGTGACTGATCCAAACTTCAGGAAAGACCTGCTGTTCACGAGTCTCTGGGGAAAGACTGTAGACTATTCCCCTTTCTATCTTGCTTCTGGGAGCCCCTGGGAGAATTCTGCTGCCCCGTTTCAGTGGCCTGTGGCAGGAACAACTGCCTTGTTTTTCCTACATAGCTATTTCCTCTGGTCCTTAATGTTTACTTATTCATTCTCTGTGATTACGTATCTTCTTGTAAACCACCTTATATATATGATGAAACCTGAATTGTGGTTTCCCAGGAGACACAGCCTCCGTGGGGTCTGGGAGGAAAGTCTCGTGAGATGTGATTTGAGTCAAAAATTGCCAGATGCAAAAGGCGCTATGGATCCTCAGCATGTTTCTCTCTTTTCTTTAGTTATGGGGACGTTGGACATTCCTGGTGGCAGCCTTATGGTCACTGAGGGCGAGCCCTATAATGTCACTTGCTATGCCCTGGGCTGGACTCCACTCCCAGAAATTTCTTGGGAGGTCCAGGTCCCGGTAAGCCATTCCAGTGATTTCTCCTTTCTGGAGTCGGGTGGTGCCGTGAGCATCCTGGCTCTCACACCGCTGGGCAACGGGTCGCTGACTTGTGTGGCCAATCTGAAGAGCGTGCAGGCCAGCAGTTCCCTAACTGTCAACCTGACTGTGGTTCATCCTCCACTGGGTAAGTGAGAGAAAGCCAGAAAGTGACCATTCTGAGTACACTCGAGGGGTCCATCAGCCTGGAAGTGACCTTGACGTTGGGTGGGGATGCGGGGATGGGGTGCAGTCTGGTGCTGTGGGCTCAGTAATTGTTATCTCATTGCTCTTACAATCTCTTCTTAAGTTTTCTTTTTTCTAATTGTATATGAAACATTGAGAAATCTTGTCTGTAACATATAAGAAGAAAGAATCAAGTTCAGAGACAAATACACAACTTAATTTTTTTTAATGAAGCTGGGTGTGGTGGCTCATGCCTATAATCCAAGCACTCAAGACGCCGAGGCAGGAGTATTACTGAGAGTCTGAGGGTGTCCTGGTGAGTTCCTGGCCAGTCTGGGCTACAGAGTGAGAGCCTGTCTCAAAAGACCAAAACAACGACATCTGTGTATATTGTTTAACTTGACCAAATGGCAGAACTTTAAAAAGTTTAGATGACATAGAGGAAACTTTAACCTTATACTTTGCTGTTGTTATTTTTAAAATTAATTTATTTTATGTGTATATGAGTATATTGCTTGCATGTTTGTAAGTGTACCCATGTCGTGCAATACCTGTGGAGGGCAAAAGAGGGGGTCAGATGGTTTTTAGCCGCTGTGTGGGTGCTGGGATTTAAGCCCAAGTCCTCTGCACGAGCAGTCAGTGCTCTTAACTGCTAAGCCATCTTCTCAGCCCCTAACCTTATACTTTTTAAAAAAAAAATTAAAAAATTTAATAACCACATGATTAGAAGAAGCATTTCATCACAGCTTTAACATATTCAGTAACAATTTCCAGAGTAAGGATACATATCTTTCAAAACTGGTTGTAAATTTTTGGGTTCACAGTTGAATTAATACAGTTATACAATATTGAGCTCAGTATAAGCCCCGTGACTTTTGGGAGGCAGTAATCTGAAATAGTGGTCATATTTAGGGATAAGTACTCTTCAGGCCCTTGTTCTCTGCATATTGACTAATTGTGGGTCTCTGTGTAAAGGAAATTCTCTGGTGGGAGTCAAGAGATGCATCCAACCTAAATGTAGAGGTTCACATAGATGGAACTGGTAAAAGAATGGAGCCACGGGCTCCTCCCAAGCCCATGTTACTCCTTGAGGAACAGAGCCTCAATGACCTTAAGAGTAAAAATAAATTGGTTTATCTGGGTCAATTGTAGGGTCTTAAACACTCAAAAGGAAAGTATAACCAAAGATTAATGGGGTCAATATAATTTTTTAAGAGTCGACATGCATAGCTAAAGGCTATACAGCAAGAAACAATGCCAGGCAGGAGATACCTTGTACTTTTTAAAGAGCCCTGGAGAGCCTATGTGCTCTGAGTTGGTGAGGACAGGAATTCAGGAGTACAGGGATGATGTGGTCAAGCCTGAAGACTGACTTGACTTTTTTTTTTTTTTTTTGTGGGGCAGGGATGGTGCTAGGGATGAACTCAGGGCCTCACAGGTGCTAGGTAAGCAATCTACTACTGACTGCAAACCCAGCCCTGGAGACTTAACCCCTTCATCTTACAAAATTGGAGGGAAGACCTGGAGGGATGCCACTTTTTAATCAAGGCCACATCGTTAGAAGTTAAGAGGAACTTTTAGTTCAAAGTTTTTTCCTACCATGCAAGTATCACTACTCCATCCTTTCAGCATTCAGAACAAGGCTACAGTAAGGGAAAACACCAATAATAGCAACAGCTAGCTCTGCTTACTACTTACTAAACACCAAGCACTGTTCCAAGTACTCAGGTACTCACCAAACTAGCCTGCATCACAGTACAGAAGTGCTGTTATTGTACTTCGAGAGCAGGTGACTAGACAGGGCTGTCTGGATTTTTTTCCCCCTGTAGCCCCAGCTGGCCTGGAACTCACTATGTAGACCAGGCTGGTCTTGAACACACAGAGATCCTTCTGCTTCTGCCTCTTGAGATTTAAGGGCATATGCCACCATGCCCAGTTAGCGCTACCTGGATTTTAGCCAGGTCTGTTCTGTAGAGACTTTGAGTGGCAGGGGCAGCCAGGATCTGCTCTCCCATCCACTGTACCATGTGGAGGGTGAGTGAGCTTCCTGTGGCTGCTGTAACAAAGTGCTCCAGCTTGGACAGCTTAGACAGTGAGAACGGATTGCCTCACAGCTCTGGGTGCTGGTAGTCTGAGGTCATGGTAAGCAGGGAAGGTTCCTCTTCAGGTCTGTGGGGTGTGTGTATGTAGGAGACTCTGTCTTATGTCTTTATCTCTGGGGACTGTTGGCAACCTTGGGCATCCCTCCCTCCCCCTCCTTCCTGTTTCCTTCTTACCCTCCTCTCCTCCTTCTCCTCCCCCTTTTCTCTCCTTCTGCTTCTCTCCCCCCTTCTTCCCCCTCCCCTTCCTTTCCCCCTTTTCTCTCCCCTCCCCTCCATTTTTCTCCCTCTGTTTCTCCCTCCCCTTCTCTCTCCCCCTCCCTCTCTAGTCCTCCTGTCTTCCTCTCCCTTCCCTCCCTCTTTCTCCCTTTCTCTTCTTCTCCCTTATTTCCTCTCCTCTCTCTCCCTCTCTCTCTTCCTCTTCCTGTCCCCCTCCTCTCCTTTCTCCCTTCCCTCTCCCTCCCCCTCAACTTTAGTGTATACTCATTTTTGTTCCCTTGTAATCTATTACGTCCTTACTCATGATGCTGCCCACCTTGGTCCAGGGTTGATCCTGCAGGTTATCTCTGGTATCTTGCTGATATCTCCCTATCAGCTTTTGGGCACCCACCCGATCAGATGCTCTACACACATTGTGCACTCCCCTTATCCCAGCCTGAGATGGGCTGTTTTCCCAAGGAACTAACCCACGTTGCCTGTCAGCAACTTAGGTTTGATAAAGTCTGGTCCAGGGTTTGAAAGGGTGGACTGAAAGAATTCCATCAGCACCAAATGGATGGGCCAGAATTGACCCTTGAAAGTGCACATTTCAACAAGGTAATAGAGTAGCACAGGGCTCTGGCTTGATCAATGGCACTTTCTGGAAGTGGATTTTAGAGATTAGGTTTCTTGCCATCCATTTCTGCTACAAGGGAAAGGGGGAAGACGGGGGCATTTAACTTCTCTTGATCAGCAGAATTCTTCCTTGGCTAGGACGCCCCTTCATTACAGCGGCTGGAGGCCAGAGGGCTGGGAAGGAAGACTGTGGGTGGCAATGAGCCTGGTTTTATTGGACTCATTTGCAAAAGAATATTTCATTTCTAAATTATTCATCGAGATCAGAGCAGCTGGTGGCTGGGGCGTGTTGTGTGTTTTATGCAAGTCTTATTAACTATAGAGCTTATTCAACCTTGGCTGGCAGAGCTGACTGTAAAGCTGGTGACCAAGGCCTGAAGGCCTGAAGTTCACGGAGAGCTGAGGGGCCAGTAGCCTGTGCTGCCAGGCTTCCTTGGGAATGGGGGAGCCTCAGTCCTCCACCCATGTGCTAAGGGTGTAAGAAGACCTTTATTTCTTGGTTGAGCTTAGGAAGTCTAATGAGGTCAAGCCACAAAGTGTGTGCCAGTGAGAGATCAAAAATCCCCTGAAGAAAGGCACATGGAAAGACCAAAGCTTATCTTCAGAGCTTGTTTCTAAACACCGGATTTTATAGAGATCATACAAACCTGTGGGGTTGCAGATATCCACAACACTAGAAATCAAAAGCCCCTTTGTATGATGGGGAGACAGGAGTAAACATCTATTCACACCAGATAGGACGCTGCTAAAAGACCAAAGAAACAACTCCACCCAAGTCTAGCTGGGTGAACCAGTGAGTTTATTGGGGTTACTTAACAGGAGCATGAGTGATTTAGAGCGAGTTCCATCACGGAAAGGCCCACATCAGCTTGAATGATGATTCATTAAAGTTAACATCCTTGGGACTCTGAACCTTGGAACCTGAAAAGCACAACTTTTCAGGCAGTTCCACTGAGGGGTCCCCCAGTAATCGCTACTGCTTCTATATCCTTGGGGAGAAACCTTGTGAATCTGTAAGTTTCCTTTTCTTCCTAAGTCTTACGAGCCCCTCGCTTCCTTCTAGGAAGGAATGTTCTGGTCGTGAGGAATGGCTACAGAACCCTCCTCATCTCCATCAAACCAATCTTCAGCTGTTTACCACTGCCACCTGTGCCCTCTGGCTTGTTCCCTCTGTCTTGGTGCTCCTTGGGTGTAATGTGAAAAGGTGGTCATGAGGCCGGATTTCCTGGACACAGGAGCATCTTGTAGGATGGAGTGTTCTATTCTGATTCTGTTTATTTTCCTGAGATGTGACAGTGTCCTGGACAGAGAAGGTGGTAGGTATGACCATCTTGGGTTTCTACTCTAGGTCTCCTGGCATGTCACCAACCTTTAAGGCTCAGTTTTCCTACATGTGAAATGGGCAGGAGATGAATTGAACCGTTCTCTTTTCTGGCTCAGTCACTGGAGGAGTCTGCCTTGGCAGAGTTTCAACCCCTCCCAGAAGCTCTCATGTAATTGGTTTTCATGGAGTATGAGATCTTTGATTTTTTAAAAAAATATTGTATTTATTAATTTTATTTTATGTGTATGAATGTATTGCCTACATGTGTGTAAGTGCATATGTCATGCAATACCCTCAGAGGTCAGAAGAGGGCATCAGATCCCCTGGAATTGGAGTTACAGATGGTTGTTAGCTGCCATGTAGGTGCTGGGAATCGAACCGGGATCCTCTGCAAGAGACTGAGACATCTCTCCAGTCCCAGAGATCTTTTTTAAAAGCTCCTCCCCACCAAAAAAATTGGCTTGGGAGCAATTAGCCTAAAAATCTGTCAGGCCCACCTTCCAATCCAACTGGTCAGGTTTTATGGTCCACACAGACCCAGAGACGAGAGAGCACCCCATTCTCTAGCTCTGTGACTTGGAAGAAATTCCTTAACCTTGTTGAGCATCAGCTCTGTCACTTGTGAAACTGAGACAACAGTATTGCCTGCCTTCAGGGCTGCTGCTCTTGGGGGACGTAAGCAGACTGAAACGTCCAAGGTGTGATCCCTTAGCAGGACAGAAGGGTGACTGGTCATTGCTTACTTTAGTGACTCAGAGATCTGTGTGCCTCTGGTGGGCACAAGCTTTGTGGGTGCTTTTGAGAAATTCTATGCACTCTTTTAAAGCTCTGTTCACTCTTTTCAGAGCCTCTGGGAAAACTATTCTTTCCTTTGCCAGTGGGGACAGGACAGCCCCTAAGCTGAGGTTAAGCACACGGTAAGGTCAGTCACGTGGCTTTGAGGAGTACCAGTGTTGGGGAGGAGCTTAGGGAGGAAGGCGTGTTGCTAAGCTTGGAGATAACCTTCCTTAGTCACTGTTTGTTGGCTACTCAGGCGTAGCATGCCCACCTTCCCCAGAACTCTCACTCACCTGAGTCAGGCACCCTCCGCCCTATACAACCTTCTTTAGAAGCCCTGAAAATGTCTTTATCTAATCTGAGACCTGGGCTCTGCCTCCCTGGAGGGATTGTTGCACACTGAGATGAACTGTGACATAGTGGGAGGCATGCTGGAGGAGCAGGCTTCACTGTGCTGAGCCCTGGGGCAGGTTCTGGGGCTCTTTCATCTAAGTGTCTTATCTGTACAGTTTTGGATTAGAACAGATTAGGCCATGGGCGAGATCACTCCAAGAGTCTGCTTTTTATCCACCACTTTTTTTTTTTACTTATTATGGATATTACTTATTTTTTCATACAGCTGTGAATGCTGTTAGTCTAAAAACATTAGCCTTCTACCAAGCAAAAGCATTCACGTTGTGTGTGTATGCATGCAAACATAAGTGCATATATATAAACATGAAAAATGATTATTAAAATAAGACATCTGTGCAGTTCCAGCACTAACATATTCCTCTTTGTGTCCCCATGCATGATACACTGGATTAGAGGCTTGAGCTGAACTATCTCCGGGATGTGAGAGACTGTGGAAGGCTGGACTTCTAAGGAGAATGGTCACAGCAGACAGGAAGGGATTGAGTCACTTTGCTCCTGATACCTGTTGCATTTTGTTTTGAGGCTTCTGGGGGCAGGTGTGGAATTTAGGAAGAAGACAGTGAGCAATGCCACAGAATCCCTTATTCGCTTCAGGACTCTGTCGTCCTCCTCAGGAGGCACCTCCGGAGGTAGTGTCCTCTCCTACACACATTCACAGCTAAGGAGGAAGCAGGTGCTCACTGCTTAGTTGGAATAAGGGTTTGATGCCACTCAGGGGGTCTTTTCTCAGGTCCTTTTCTTCACCAGGTAAAGAATTACAGGACAAGAAGTTTGCAGTCACAGCTCAGAGCCAAGGTTTATTAAAGCAAGTGCAATATTCCAAACAGCCAAAGAGACAGACTCCCCGCATTGGGAGGGGGTCCAGAGCTGCACACTCTATCCCCTGGAGAGTCTGGGCTTTTACATTCTACAGAGTAGGAGATGGGACAGGACTGGGCTCCCTTTCCCCCATTTGGATTGCATAGGACAGGATGCATGTTGCTTCACTCATATGAAAACAGGAATCTGATTGGGTAAAGCATGGGTGGGAAGTTGACGGTTGGAACGCTGACATTTCCCCCGTAGGAGAAGGAGAGGCCATGGGTAGGAAGCGTTGAGTAGCAGGTCAATAAACTTTGCCCTAGGTTAGGAGAATCCAAGCCTATCTCTCTTTTATCAGGAGCTAGACCTCAGTGTCTAACCACAGCTAGCTCCCTTATGAAAACTTCTGACATTTGCAAATTTCAATTTAAAAGAGAGTCCATCTCATTGGATACAGGGTGGCTATGGTAGTCTGGATGCATGTATTTTACCTTTTAGAGTCTTGGAACTTTCACACACATCTCTTGAGTCTAAACAATCTGGTGGGGTAAGACTTGTGACTGGTGAGTGAACCAGAGACCAGAGGAACCCAGAAAATAAACAGAGTCCACAGACTGACTAGTTCCACTGGCAGGAAGTCCAAAGCTATTGACAGCACAAGGCTTCTGGAAACACAGGGGTTTTCAACTCTGGATTGCGATGTCAGGAATACAGCTCTGGGTGTCATGATCTCATGAGGGAAGGGAAGCAGGGGCACTTCCTGTAATGAGGGAGGGTACACTGGGTAGTGTTCTTAAAATAAGAGTCATCAGCCACTTGCATGCAGAACATCTGAGGTACCTTTCCAGACCCCTTGACTCTGCCTTACTGGGGCAGGTTTTGAATTTGCATATACAAGAAGCTGTCCAGGCTGTTCTTGGTGTTCTGTTCTCTGTGGGGCAAGGGGGAGCCTATTCTCTGACTGTGAGAACTGACTTGAGCCATTACCACAGTCCTGGGGCTGGGGAGGTTTGGTATGGGGAAAGTACAGCTCTTTTCCCTCCTCCATCACCAGGACTTTTTTTTTTTTTGAGAACACTTTTCTATCTTTCTCATCATCTCAGAAAGATGGTGGGTGAAGTGGAAATAGATGACATTGGGAAAGTAATTTAGCCTTCCTTCAGAACTGCAGTTCTGCTCTGGACAATTAAAAAAATATTTTATGCCGGGCGTGGTGGCACATGCCTTTAATCCCAGCACTCTGGAGGCAGAGGCAGGTAGATCTCTGTGAGTTCAAGGCCAGCCTGGTCTACATAATGAGTTCCAGGACAGCTGGGGCTACAGGGAGACCCTATCTCAAAAAGACCAAATTTTTTTTTATTTGTTAATTTTATTTTATGTATATGAGTGTATTGCCTGCATGTGTGTAAGTGTACCCATGTCACACAATGCCATGGAAGCCAGAAGAAGATGTTGGATCCCCTGGAACTGGAGTTACAGATGATTGTTAGCCGCCATATGGGTTCTGGGAATTGAACCCGGGTCCTCTGCAAGAGCACCCAGTGCTCTTAACTGCTGAGCCATCTCTCCAGTCTTGTGGGCATCTTAATACGAGGAGAAAGCTGTGGTATAGGTGTGGCTCAGTGTAGCTGACTGCTCCGTGCAGACTTCTCTATGGAAAGGCAATCAAGAATTCAGCCTTTTAATCAATCTTTCTGTCCATCCATCCATCCATCCATCCATTTCTCCTTCTATCCATCTATCTATACACCCAGTTTTTAAAATCCATCTACCCATCCATCTATCTACTTACCCACCTGTCTATCGCTTTATCATCTATCATGACTAGTAAGTTCCAGTATTTATATGACTAGTAAGTACTTGGGTATAATAAAAATAATACACAATCCTTGACCTTGAACTAGGTGTGGGTCAGACAATAGAAGATAATTAAGAAATGGAAGTTGATTTCTAAGATATTTCAAATGATAGTAAATTTAAGGTGTTAAAAAAAAAACCTGCTACTATTACCCAACATCTAATTTCCTCTAAGGAAGCAAAAAGAAATATAGGCAATTCAGAAAAGTATGACAGGAAGGGCAAAAACAAGTACTTTTTCTATCATATAATTTCTCATAGCACAGAGTTCCCTGGTTAGTTCCCAGATAATCCTGACTCTTTCTAGAAAAGATTTATTCTTATATTTAATTGTGTGTATATGTCTGAGTATGGATTTGTGTTGTGTGTGAGTGTATTGCCCATGGAGGTCAGAAGAGGGCATTGGATCCCCTGGAACTGGCCTTACAGTGGTTGTGAGCTGTTGGACATGGGTGCCAAACTCTGGTCTGCTACAAGCACAGCAGGTGCTCTAACCACTGAGCAATTGTCCCAGCCTCATGTGTGGATTCTTATGCAGTTGGATCCTTGCTTGCCCTTGACTCAATGTCAAGGAAGTTGATTGTAGAGACCAGGGCATGAGTGATTATCTCTAAACTTTCCCATCCTTATGCTGACCACCTCACATTGGCAAAGGAGCAGCAAATCACAATTGCTGGATACATTTTCAAGGAAAGACTCTAAGGGGGGGAGCACCTAAGAGTGATTTTTCAACTCTAGCCCCTTGTTCCAAAGCAAACCTTGTGTTAAAATAATAGAGGAAGTCTATTATTTTAAGTTTTTAGTGACCAGCCTCCACTCTGTTTACAGTGCGATCTATTGGGTTGGGTGGCAGACCTTGTTGAATAGCAATGCACAATTTGCCAGGTTAGCGTGGCTGTCTGTGGTTTGCCTTCCGTGCGATTCATGGTTGGACAGGAAGTGGACAGTGCTCTTGAGGGCTGTTTTGGAGTCAGCATGTAATTCCCACCAGATAACCACTATGCCACCCAGCAGGACTTTCAGGGACGATGGCAATGTTCTACGTATGTCGTAACTGCGCACTTGAAATGTAGCCAGTGCAACCAAGGAGCTGAATATTTACACACAATTTTAATTAAAATTTGAATCAGTTCTAAGATGTGGCTAAAAACCAAAACAAAACAAGCTGACTTCCCCTCACTCCCCTTCCTTCCCCACTTCTGTTCCATCTCCTGCGGGGTCTGCCTCACCTTTCCTAACCTAATGCCTACCGGTTAGAACAAGAGGCGAAGGTGGACGCCGGCAGCCGTGCCTGAAGGACCACGGAAAGTGTGACTGAAGAGCACTGTGTGCTGGGTGTTGGTGGGGTCTTGGGGAAACTACGCACCCAAGGTCCTTGGGAAGTGGCCTTCCCACAGGGTGCTCTGATTTCCTTTGGGTTCTGGAATTACAAAGCTTGGGGACATAGACGCCAGAACCCACCCTTCTCTGGTCTGGTCATAATTCTTACTCCTTGATACATGGAGTTTGAACATGATAGCAAGTATCCAACCTTGGGAGCTGCCTTGTGGGCCCAGCCTTATGCATTTCTCTGGAATGTATGTGGGAGGCGGCAACACAGTGATACCTGGGACTGAGTTACACGACATGTTGGCAGCCATAAACATTGGGATGGAAGACCCTGCGGCGTCCTGAGTTCTTAAACACACAGGAGGGGTGCCCTGCTGTAGCAGGCTGAATACTTATTGAACACATGAGACAGGTTAGAGCTGAGCAGAAGCCTTGATCCTAACAAGTGCAAACATGGCTGATCTCTCTCTCTTTTTTGCCCTTGTAGACAGCGTTGACAGGGCAGACTCGTCACTGCCGACCTGGGCCATCGTTCTCCTGGCTGTGTCCCTGTCGTTACTCCTGATCCTGATCATAGTTCTCATCATAATATTCTGCTGCTGTTGTGTCTCTGGGAGAGAAAAAAAGGGTATTTTTTCCCATATAAATTTATATATTGTTTTAGATTTGGGGGACAAGAAGTTGAGGTGAATGGGCTTATCCACTTGTTCAAAAGGCGCTTCACTATAACGAGGTGTCACAGCACCCATGGTGAAGTGGCTGTCATCACCAAGTCAGAGATAAGAAGAGTTGGCAGGGGAACGCTTGCACACCATGGTGGGAGTGTAAACAGGTACAAATGTCATGGAAGACAGTGTGGGGGTTCCTTAGAACACCAAAAATGGAATCATCATGCGCTCCAGTGCTCTGACTCCTGGGTGAATAGCTAAGGAAAAGTGAGAGGAAATGACATCAGAATGTCAGAGGGACACCTGCGCGTGTGTCCACTACAGCACAGCTCACACACTTTCCAAGTGCTGAATCTGTGCCTCTCCTTGTCTTCCTCTCGCTGATTTGGATGCTTTCTACAGTTCGATTGTTTTCTTAAGAGCAGAGATTCAATGTTTGGGTGACGTCACTTGACTCACATTCCTAATTCTGCGAGTACTGGCTGCCGTCTGATCAGGCTCCATATGCTGACTGCTCTCCACAGAAAATCTCTCCGTGAGGCAGTCTATGTATATCACACAGTCTAGCCTTAATTAGGGCAGTGAGCTAGCTGTAGCTCCTCCATGGATTAGGTTTGTGACCGGGGAGAATTGGAAAGTAGGAATCAAAAAATAGTAACATCCTGTCCACCTGGATGAGATGGGAATTTGGTTTTGCCTGGGCATCGCTCATGCTAAAGAGATGATACTCACATATTGGACTTTAAGTGAGAACTGTTGACATGTTTCCTGTGTCCTTTGAGGAGGTTCCAAGGCTTGGGCAGAGCCTTCAGATGGTTATTTTGATGCATTGGGAGCAGGTGGAGAAATCCCATTGTCTGGAGATTCTGCTTCTCTTGGGCCCCTGTCTGCCCCTGCTGACTTTGTAAGAAGGTTGGTGGGAACTGATCTGTATAGCTTAGGGTGATTTTCAGGTTACTTGTCTACAAATGAGATGAAGTGCCATCCTATAGATTGGTTATGAGAATTTAAAATATGTATTAGATCCTCTGAGCCAGGTGTAGTGACTCTTGCCTATAATCCCAGCACTTGGGAAGCTGAGGCAGGAGGATTGCCACAATTTTGAGGCCAGCCTGGGCTACCATAGTGAGTTACAGGGCTGGTTACATAGCAAGACTCTGTCTCAAAACATATTTCTAGGGGCTGGAGAGATGACTCGGCAGTTAAGAGCACTGGCTGCCCTTGCAGAGGACCCAGGTACGATTCCCAGCACCCACATGGCAGCTAAAAACCATGTGTAACTCCAGTTCCAGGGAATCTGACGCCCTCTTCTAACCTCCTCGGGCACTGCACAACACAAGTGCACTTATATACATGCAGGCAATACACTCATACACATAAAATAAAAATAATAAATAAAATATTAAAACATTTCAGTGCTCCATCCTAGATTTTATCTTTATGTAAGTTTGATATTAAAAGCCCATGTAAGGATGAGCTGTTTTCTTTTTTTCTCCCTTTTGTTTGCAACAAGTGTAGGTTAGAGCTGTGAATAGAGACCCTCTACGACCCACTTACAGTACTCACCCTGCGCCACTGGTCAGGTGTGGCTACAGTGAAATTATGCTACATTTTAGCATAAATGTGAAAGTCAATGGGCTTCTGAATTTTCTCTGCTTGATTACTTCAATGCTTAAAATATATTAAATATTTTTCCTTCAAAAGTGTTTTCTCTGTATGCCTCTGGTTAACTGATGACTGACTGAAAACGGCTGAGGGTCTGACTCAGTCTACCTAGGGGTCTTGGGATGGCAGTGTGGAGAGAGAGACTTGACACCCTTCCTCTCCCCCACCTCAGTGGGAGCATGTGGCTTGCCCCAACACTGCAGGACGTCTGCAGAGACAGGCTCAAGTCCCTTGCAAGGCAAACAAAATTGTTCTTAAGTTTAGTTTGAGATGTGACTCAGATGATGTTATTAGAATTGGAAAGAAGTGAGACTGTTACCTAAAAAACAAGGAAAGTGGATATTTTCTAGACCTCAGCAAAGCTTGTTATTTGGAAGACCTGCTTAGGAAAGCAGAGTTGTGAGGAACATGGATTCTGCACAGACTCTGGGAACTTGCTGTGTGGACTATCATAGCTTCAAATTCTGGATTCCCTCTGGTTCAAGAGTCTGGTGTTGGGAAACAACAGCTGTGGAGCGACAGCTCTGTGTGTGTGTGTGTGTGTGTGTGTGTGTGTGTGTGTGTGTGTGTTATGACACAGTGATAGAAACTGACACCACTGGTACATATGAACTTGATTGGAAATGGATCTTAGCATTAAAGAAATTGGATGTCTTTGCATAATAGCATCTCCTCTGTTGAAACACAGTGACGCTAGTCCCCCCTGGCTATTGTAATAATTAAATGAGGTGATGCCTTGTAAGGTTCTGATGGCCTGGTACACAGGGAACAACTAATGGATAACTGCTGGCTTGGTAAATCCAGGGCCTTCTGGGTATGCTACTTCGGCAACCCAGCTTGTCAAATTCAATCAACAGCCACTAGGTACTTAAGGGGATCCACTATCTCCTACCTAAGGACTATTAATTTTTCTTATGATGAATTCCCCTTAGCCTTAGGAGCCATTTAATAATTTGGTGCAGGGTCATTTTTAATACTTAGTGGATAAAGTCCTCATGTGAGGCTTATTGAAATCAGGGAGTCAATAAAATCAATGAGATTTTATTTTTAGAATAACTATCCTCATTTTTCTAATGGTATTCTCTCTCTCTCTCTCTCTCTCTCTCTCTCTCTCTCTCTCACAGAATCTAGTTATCAAAATGAAATAAGGTAAGTTTAAAACCACATTAGCTTTTTGGCCAAACAAAACCAAGTAGCTATAGTAATACTCAAGTGTAGAAGTGTAGGATTTGAGGATTTTTGTTACTCAAAATTAAGTACTGAAAATAGATGCTCTGAGAAACATATACCCATCACAAGCTCATAGGACGGCCTTGGCTGTAGAATAATGGAGATGAATACAGGTGTGTAGAACCATCCACCCCGATTGCTTGGGCTCGCTCGGGAAATGAAGGATCTCCAAGCAATTGGCATTTGCAACTCTCCCCACGAGAGGACACAGTGCACTGGGACTGTTGGTGACTGTTTTCCCTCCTGCTTTGGGTCAAGGCTGGGGACATGGGCAGAGGTTGTATTGGGTCTTGAGGGCCATTGGAGAACAGAGTCAAGCCAGGAAGATGCCTGTAAGGCAGGTGGTGTTGCTCGGGTGGATAAATTAGGCAGTGTCTGCTGACGGTTCCAGGAACTGGGAGGTCAGGGCTGAAAAATTCCTCTCCTTCCCGCACTACCCGGAAGTGGCTGCAAGCGCTTTGAAGCTGACTAAGCCCAGGGCCCCTCAGTCACGGAGGCACCCAGGGTGTTTCAGGTGCAGGGTTTAGCCAAGGTATTCTGTGGTCACACCCTGCCATGGTCATTACTTATTAGATACAATGTTTCTAAAGACTCAAATGCTGAGCTCCCTTTCACTTCACTCAGTGCCAAGGAGGAACACCTACAGTTCTGGGGGCAGGCTCTCTCCAGTCTCCCTCCAGCCTTGGTAAGAATGAGGTTCTGACATAGGCAGCTGCATTCTGAGGACAGCATCACACAACAGTCTGGAAATAGCTCTTTGGGGCCTGACTTGCCCTGAGGGAAGAGGAGGGAAACAGACCCTGGTAAGGTCTAGCATTTCTCTTGATTGTGATAACCAGGGGGTCATAGTCCGAATTCCTGGACTGACCATTGTTGCTGGTGCCACAGTCTTTGGTCTTTGCTTCTGTTCTCAAGGCTGTGGCGGGTCTCAAAGCACAGTAAAGACACTCAGAGGTACTTAGGAAAATGGATGGTAAATACCAACAGGTGTGATGCAGCAACAGTGGTAGCCGGAACATCAGAACTAAAATCTCTCTCTCTCTCTCTCACACACACACACACACACACACGCACACACGTGCGCATGCACACACACTCCTTAGCATACGTGCTAAGTGCTGTTCTAAGCTTTGTAGAGGTTTTGCTCTTACTGAGTTGTTCTCCACTTTTCCATGTTGTGACTGATAGTACTGAGGCAGAGGTGAGTGACATTGTCAACATTTCCCTGGTGGACCCTGGGATGGTCAGTCGGCCAGGACCTTCATCTGTACGGAGCTCCTGTATCAGACCAGCTTGCCTTGCCTTGGAGGCACGGTGGAAGGCTCACTGGCTGACCATAGCCTCTGTATTTCCATCCCCTCTGTCCATGTCAACTCCAGCCACTTACAATTTTTGTATTGAAATAACCATGTGAATTTTCTTATAGACTTCAGTGTAGAAAAACTTAAACATGGGTGTGAGAAACAATGTTAGTCCCCGTAGTTCTGTGTGTGTGAGAAACAGTGTTAATCACCCACAGTTCTGTTGTTTGTGTGTACTTATATGCACGTGTGTCCATGTGTATAAACAGAGATGGGTGCACAAAGACATTTTGTACTACCTGGACCATAATAATCATTATCCCATAGTTTACTCTTTTTTAATGTGTTTTTAATTTATTTTTATTTAATGTGTATTGCCTGCATGTATGTAAGTGCAGTCATGTTGTGCAGTGCCTGAGGAGGTCAGAAGAAGGCTTCAGATTCCTTGGAACTGGAGTTACAGATGGTTGTTAGCTGCCATGTGGATGCTGGGAACCAAACCCAGGTCCTCTGCAAGAGCAGCCAGTGCTCTAACCACTGAGCATCTGTCTAGTCCCACTTCGCTCTTTTTTGTTTGTTTTGTTCTGTTCTTTTTTTTTTGTCTTTTTGAGACAGGGTCTCCCTGTAGCTCCAGCTGGCCTGGAACTCGCTATGTAGACCAGGCTGGCCTTGAACTCGCAGAAATCCACCTACCTCTGCTTCCCGGTGCTGGGATTAAAGGTGTGTGCCACCACACCTGGCCCCAGTTTGCTCTCTTTATGTGACACTATTCTGAAGACTATTCTGCTAGCAAACACTTGCCTAATAAATATCGCCTTTGCTTTGTTTAGTAGTTTCTTTTTTCAGGTGGTTTTCTTTATTTAGCTTTACAAATGGGTATACATACGGCTTTATTCTCTGTCTTTTCTGCTCAAAAAACAAATGATTCTATATCTATAGCAGTAAAATTATCAGTATAGATCTGTTTCAAAAGATAAAAGCCTTCTTGACATTTTCATTCACAAGTGTAAGTGTAGAAAATGCACACAAGTGATGTTCTTAGGCACCTGTGCCGGGGCTGTGGCTGCCAAAATTTGTAACTAGTGATGGACACATCACACATGTGCATTCAAACACACCTGCCTTCCTGAGCTTTCTGAAGTGAGGCTGTTGCACACCGTGGCCTGCAGATGGAAGTTTCTGATGATACAATGCCATATTCTGGCCGTCTGTGAGATTTACTTTCTCCCTTAGCTTTATACGGGGCTTGGGTTGTTACAGGCCAATGGAATCCCATTCTCCGGTGTTCTCCTGAGTCCCTGTGGACCCTGTGGAGGAGCCAGCCTGCTCAGTGCTCTGTTCCGTATTCCTAGCAGTGAGGGCAGGGCACAGGGTTGGCGGATGTCTGGCTTTGGACTGAGCTAACTGTTATCCAAGAGCTGTTCCAGTGTCCACTGTTCCTGGGAGCACACGAGACCTCTGGTCCATCAAAGTTTCACACATAGCGTAGAAATCCTTCATGTATGTTGGCCACTGGAGTGTCTGCTGTTTTTCTGTTTATACATGGCTCATGTATGAGCCATCTTTCAGGTAGATTTTGTGCTTACTTCCTTAGGAGAAATTCTTAGGAGTGTGAGCATTTTAAATTCTCTGACCGTCCACTGCTCGTCTTTGTTTCCCCAGGAAGCTGCAGCAACCTTCACTCTGTTTCAGGGGCTGGTCCGCTGTTTGTATAAAGGACTGCATAGTAAATACTTTGGGCCTTGCCAGCCGTTGGCTCTTTGCCACAGTCACTCTGTTCTGTTGTAACACTGAAGCATCACTGGATAATCTGGAGGTGGGCAGGTGTCACGCCATTTTTAATGGAGCCTGTGTGCGATTTTCCGTGGGTTGGGGCTGAAACTTCAAGGAAGGTTGCCTCTTGGAACTGGCAGTGCAAAGATCTTCAGTGTACTTGGCTGTATTTTGCTTACTATTATTTTTATGACTGTCATTCTTTTATGGGTATCTAGGAACTCAGTTTCCTCAGATGACCTTGTCTCCTGATGCACCTTTACTGCTCAAAGCTATAATAGAAGCTGCTAGAAATAATCAGTCATGGAATATCATGGACAGAATAGAACAAGCAGAGCTAATGTTAGGAAGTCCTAAAGATGATGTATTTCCTAAAGGACGGGCAATTCAGGGAAAAGACTCTAATTCTGGTATTAGGAGAAAAAGAAAGTTACCACCAACTGTTATGACTAATTTTGGCCTGGCTTATGTTTTGGCAGGAGGTAGATTATGGCAGGCACCGAGAGGGAAAGAATCTTCAGTGTACTTGGCTGTATTTTGTTTGTTATTATTTTTATGACTGTTATTTTTTTATGGGTATTTAGGGGACATGGAGAGGACTTGGTGTCCTTGGTTTGGCTTTAGGGCTTGTCTTTCGATTAAAACCTTGATGTTGAGGATAAGGTCCTAGGAACTTGGATTTTTTTAGATGACCTTGTCTTTTGATGTATTTTTACTGCTTAAAGCTATAATAGAAGCTGTTAGAAATAATTAGTCATGGAATATCATGGGGTATCACACCTATAATAAAACCTTTTTAGGTCCTAATACTGACATGCCTTTAAAAAACTGTCTTCAAAAATATCATAATAAAAATCAATTTTAAAATTCCTTTAATACTTATCCAAAATGGCTAAATTGTGGGTTTTCTTCTAAAATATCTAAACATCAGCCTCTAGGGTCTAAAGATTCTATTTATGATTTCTCTATACCAAATCCTAATTATAATTATGCTAAATATTTAAGAAATAAAACAGAGACATTTAATGGATTTATTCCTAATACTTTGGGAGAGCCAGTCAAAAGATGGCATACACCAGGATGGGTGGCGCCTGTCTATGTGACCCACTCGCCTAAGCATAATAGAACAGGCATTTTTCCGAGTCTCTTCTGGCTTTTTGCTGCGGCGAACGTGTTGCTGCTCAGGAAACCAAAAGAAAACATGTCCACCTCAGTGGGGAAAGAGCGTGTATTAATTATCCTTATGGGATATTGGCAGGAAAACCTAATAATATCAGCATAACCAATTATGGAAAATCACACCGTATAAATTGTACCGATTGTGTTTTTACAAATTGTCTCACTTCTGCATTAGACAAAGATTATTCTGTAATAGTACTCTTAAAGAGACCAAGTTTTGTTATGCTTCCAGGCGACCTTGAGGAAAATCCTTGGTACGATAATTCCGCTTTACAAACTTTGAAAAATCTTAATGAGCTTGTTAGACCCAAGAGATTTGTAGCTGCTTTGACATTGGGTACAGGTGCATTGATCGCCATTTTGACCTCACTTACTGTTTCTACTGTAGCTTTGGTGGAAGAAGCCAGAATGGCACATTTTGTAAATGATCTCAATAAAAATATTTCTTTAGCATTAGCGGATCAATATAATATTAATCAAAAGTTAGATATGAGATTAAACGCTTTAGAGGAAGTAGTGCTAGCTCTAGGACAGGAAGTACAAAATTTAAAGGTACAGCTCTCCACAAAATGTCATGCAAGTTTTAAGTTTATTTGTGTAACTCCATTACAATACAATTCGTCCTTAAATTGAAATGCTACCAAAAATCATTTGTTAAAAATATGAAAAAATACGGAGATATCACATGATATGAAAGATTTACAAAAAGAAATAACTTCAGTAAGTAAAGCTCATTTGGATGATGAAGGCATAGGAATTCTAGCGCAATCCTTAAGGGATAATATTCAGTCTCTCAATCCTTTTAATTGGATGCACAATTTAATTACTATAGGGATAATTGTTGGAGTCATTCTACTTATTCTTTTTCTGCTTCCAGTCATCTTCAGACTGATCTTCACCTCTATCTCTTCTCTATGCTGAGAAGTACACAAAATTCATTTAAAAAATAAAAAGGGAAGAAATGTCACGCCATCTCCAATGGAGCCCGCATGAGATCCTCCGCGGTTGAGGCTGAAACTTCAAGGAAGGTTGCCTCTTGGAACTGGCAGTGCAAAGATCTTCAGTGTACTTGGCTGTATTTTGCTTGCTATTATCTTTATGACTGTCATACTTTTATGGGTATCTAGGGGACATGGAGAGGACTTGGTGTCCTTGGTTTGGCTTCAGGGCTTGCCTTTTGATCAAAACCTTGATGTTGAGGATAAGGTCCTAGGAACTCGGTTTCCTCAGATGACCTTGTCTCCTGATGCACCTTTACTGCTTAAAGCTGTAATAGAAGCTGCTGGAAACAATCAGTCATGGAATATCATGGACAGAATAAAACAAGCAGAGCTAATGCTGGAAAGTCCTAAAGATGATGTATTTCTTACAGGACAGACAAGTCAGAGAAAAGACCCTAATTCTGGTACTAGAAGAAAAAGAAAGTGACCACCAACTGTTATGACTAATTTTGGTCCGGCTTAGGTTTTGGCAGGAGGTAGATTATGGCATCCACCGAAAGGGAAAGAAAGTATGTATAAAATTCCAGAACCTACGGATGAACCACTGCCTTTTACAGGAGCCTATGATAAGGAAGGGGGTATATGGGTTAATATAGGAGGAAAAAGGATTTCTCGGTATTCATTAAAATTCATGGACAGACTTGCCAGATCTAGGCCACCTTGGTGCCCGCTTAGTAAGAAACAAAAGGAGAGCATACGGAGACAATTAAAGAATGTGTTTATTTCTTGGAAAAAAAAGATGGGATAATTATATTTATAAGTCCCATACTTGAAAGGATTTCATAAAAACTACAGGATTAGAATAAAATACTAATACTGCTTGGGGTTTGGGACTGTATAATAAACAGGAAAAAAAAAACAAATATAAAGCAACAGTATTGTAAATCACCTGAAATTCAAATAAAAATACTAATGATTATAGAGCTAATATTGAAAGCACATATTGGTTTGAGGTCATCTCACTGTGTAACCACAGAATATAAAAAAGTTTCCAATGTAAACTCACCAAAATAAAAAAGAGAAACTTTCTGTTTAGCACTAGCTGGTGCTTGTTAAGATAACAGCGTACTCTGACAATACATTTTGATCAACCTGTGTTTCACTTTTGTTTCTGAAATCAGAATTCTTAAAAAAGATTAACCACAAAAAATGGCTTATTAATGTAACCATATAATTCTACAATATATAATCTGAGCCCTACAGCTACAAAAATACACTCAGACCTTCACGAAACTCCCATGTGTTTGTCTGTTTGTCATTCGCCAAATCCTTGTCCACTCTTTCGGGGACCCTGCTCCCGTCGGACTGAACTGCTCCGGCCTGGGCTGGTCCGTCGCAGGCAGGTGTGCCTGTGCCCTGTAGAACTACTGTGCTCCAGTTGTTCACAACAGGGGGTGGGTTGGGTTTGGCTCAGGGGCCAAGGGTTACTGACCCCTGCTTTATTTAGTCAGGGATTTCTGGGAATTAAGAACGCACTGGGGAGCACAGTCTATGCACCTGCCCTGATAAAGCCCATCTCTCCCCGTCATGGGAATGTGAGAATACACAGATTGTCTACATCTGCTGAGCAGAGGCCAGGACTGAGTTGTAGCTTCCTGTGAGTTCTGTACCTAAGGCTCTGAGTGTGACCACACAGACCAGGCCTCCAGCACCGTTAGTATTCACCGTTGTAAAATGATCTAATTTTAGGAAATCTGCAAACATGAAGACAAGCAAAGCAGTTCCCGAGACAAAGCTAAAAAGTGGAAGAGAAAACTATGGGTTCAGTTCTGACGGAGCAAGGACTGCACGTAAGTAGCAGGCAGGGCGGTAGAAAAACTTGGAAGGTGCTGGAAGGTGGGCTGGCTAGCAACAGCTTCTCAAACACAGTAACTTAGCCATTGGTAGCAGTCAGTACTTGAGAAGAGCTAGAATTAGGAATATTCTAGGAGTCGGTTTAACCATAAAGATTTACTTAAGCCATGGACTTCTTGTGTCTAAATAAAACCAATGTGTTAAGAAAGGAACTGATTTCAAGTCAGTTTTCCATATTTTTATTGCACGCACGCAGAACATAAAGTTCTAAAATTATGTAATGTTAAGGGGGGAAAAAAAATCTATGGTTGTGTCAGTCAGCTTTCCTTCCCTGGTGAGTTAAGCGACTTGTGAAAGGATAACAGGTTTATCTTGGCTCGTGATTTCTGAGGTTCTGGTCCCATTGCTTTTGGCTCTGCGGTAAGCAGGGCATCATGGCGTGGTAAGTAGTGGGGCCAAGGTGCTCACCTCATGGTGTCAGGAAGCAACAACAGAGACAGGAAAAGGCCAGGGTCCCAACATCCCCTTTGAGACCACCCTTCCTCTGACCCGACTTCTTCCCATTAGTTTCCACCTTTTAGAGGATCAATCTCCTTCTAATGGAAGCAGATCTTTAATACAATGTCCTTGAAGGACATTCAAGATCTAAACTGCACTAATGGCTAAAGATTATTTTATGGCATGAGTCCTGCATAGGGGAGAACGTTTCCTTATTAATCCTAATTAATTGTTAGAATATATAACTTGGATTTTTATCATTTGTTACCCTAAAATCATTCTTCTTTTGCAGAAATTGCTTCTCTCCCTCCTAAATCCCACAAAGTCAGCATCCTGGACCAACATAGCAATAGCAGTGGCCTTCCTCATCAGGTGATGTGGACTATTTTGGATATATATATATTTGTGTGTGTGTGTGTGTGTGCCATTTAAAAATCTTTACCTTGCCGGGCATAGTGGCACAAGCCTTTAATCCTAGCACTCAGGAGGCAGAGGCAGGCAGATCTTTGTGAGTTCAAGATCAGCCTGGTCTACATAGTGAGTTTCAGACCAGTTGAGGCTAAAAACATCAAAAGAAAAGAAAAGACTTATCTTGTGGTAGGTGCATTTTGCATATTCATGATGGAAGAAGGTCTCCTTTCTTCACCTCCATATTCGGCGGACAGTCTATAAGGAATGGGGTTGAGAGTGGTCTTCTTGTAGCAGTGGCTGTAAGGCCAGTCTGATGCCGTAGACCTGTAGTCTGATACCTTTTTGGAAGTTTTGGAAGGATGTGCCTTGACTGGGGACATAGTCACCCAAGCCAACAAAGTCATGAGCAACATGTAACTGGCCCTTTGTTTTCACTTAGAAAAGGCTGAAGGACCTACTTCAGCTCTACTGTCCTGGGTACTGGGCACATTTACATGATACACATCTATACTTGGATCCTGGGCCCTTTGGCTCCCACAAGGATGCTGGGTTTGAAGGGCAGGACAGAGGATGTGTGGTTTGCTGTGTTTGTGAGGTCTGTGGCCGTGAGCTTGAGAGCTGGGAAGAGCCTGTTGGGAGTAGAATTTGCAAAGAGAAAAAGAGTCCTTGGTCAGGGATATAACCAGTACCACTTGGAGGCTGGAGTTTGTGTTAGAGATTGTTGTGGGTAGAGTGGATTTGTGGAGAAAGAACAACCTTGACTTAGAGCATATCTGAGGTCTCCACTAGGTGTCCACGGGGAGACACAGTGTACAGTTGGATGTAGAAGTCTGGAGTTTCAGGGAGAGCCATGTGCTGTAGACCTAGAAGGTTGCTAGCAGTGTTTTGATAGACATTGTCCTTTCATAGGACAGTTAAAACTGTCAACAGGGACGAATGAGAACGTAATATGTTCATTTCCTGATACAGAGTCTGCACTGGTTATCATGCATGTATGAATTAGTGTTAATATGCAGAAAATAAAAAGTTTTATATCTGAAATCTTATCAGGAAAAACATATATCCAGCATGTACAAGTACAGAGGTCCAGTGGGAAGTATTTCAAGGTGATTCTGCTGTGAGGTCCCTTTTGGGGAAGCTGGCTGCACAGGTTAGATTTCCCAGTGCACCCTGGATGGGATGGTCCTGGGTCTGCTCTGTGTACTAACTGCTATTAAGCTGCAGTCGTGGTGCTTTACCGCTGTGGCCCCTGCTCAGTCTCTTTGGAAACTTCTATTTACTTAAATTTCCAGCTCCAGGCTGTAATATTCTTTCCTGCCTTTGGGATTCAGCTGCCTACATGTATCTTGCCAGTGATGTTAGCCTTTCAGGCTTGAAGGGAAGAGGGAGCACTCTGACAGTCACTGGAAGGGAGGAGGGGACTTGGACTGGGGCCTAGTCATGTAGCTGGAAGACCTCACAGGGAGCCAGGTGTGATGACACATGGGCTGTGGCCCACGTGCAGATGGGCCTCACTGACAGATTAGTAGCTTCCAGTGCAACTTCTAACTACTTCCTCAGGCCAAGTGACAGGATAGCGGGGGAGGTCAGTTCCTTCCACCAAAGCACATCTTGGCACACGTATCTTTGGATGGATCTGGAACTGGGAGGTGGGTCAAGGGGGAAGACCAGAAAAGAGCTGGGTTTTCTTTAGAAGCACTGGTCCGTTGACCCAATGGTAGCTGTTAAAAGGAGTGATGGGCAGGCCGTGAGGGATGTTGTGTGTCCCAACCTGGGTGAGGTCTCAGGCTGACAAAGGACACAGCTGGCTGAGGGGCTCCCTTCCACACAGCTCTAAGTATGGAGCATTAGTTACTTTTGCTATAATGAAATACCAGGCAACAGCACCTTAAGGAAGGAAGGGGTCATGGTTTGGGAGTACAGTTCATTGTGGTGGGTAAGACAAGGCAACAGAGGTGTGGGGTAGCTGGTGACCTCTTGTCTGTGGTAAGGAAGCAGAGAGAGATGAATGCTGGTGCTTGGTGACTTTCTCCTTTTTATTCAGTTTAGGACCCCAGCTCATGAGATGGTGTTACCCACATTTGGGGTAGGCCTTCCCTTCTCAGTTAAATATCTCTAGAAATACCCTTATAGACATGCTCAGAGGCCTGTCTCCTAGGCGATTCCAAATCCAGCCATGTGGACAGTGAGGATTAATCATCCTACATGGATATCCCAAGCCCTTCCCTCCCCAGCTTCGCTCTGGGTACCTTTTTCTGTTAAGAGTTTCCAGTAGACAAATCCAAGTGTTTTCCTAGGTGGAGACTCAAATTATCAGACAGAAGGAGGGTCCTGTCTGATAATTTCCTTTGAAACACATCTAGTATAAATAAGGAAAATGGGAACTCTAGGTGTTTGGACACTGGACTGGAAAGCAACAGCAGAAGTCTGGGTGATGCTTTTTAAAGCCTGAGGTGCTGTTTGAAAATACACGGGGAGACAAATTAAGAGATTTCTGCTTCTAAAACATAACCAGTTCAGTGATCTATTGGTCGGAAGGAAAAAGGCAGAGGCCAAGGTACTGAACTTGAGGGTGGTGACTGCATTTCCTGAGGGTTTTACAAGCCTTCAAGGGGTGCTGAACATCTCAACAAGGAGCGCGACGGTCCTTAAGACACAACTCAGACCCCAGCGAGATGAACCGTCTTTGCACAGTGTCCTAGTTACTGTCTATTGCTGTGATAAACACTGTGACCAAACCACTTGGGGAGGAAAGGGTTTATTTCCTCTTACATCTCCTAGGTCAGAGTCCCTCACTGAGGCAAGTCAGGGCAGGATGTCAGGGCAGGAACCTGGAGCACAGACCATGGAGGAACACTGCTTACTGGCTTGCTTCTCTGGCCTGTGCTCAGCTTGCTTTCTTATGCAACAGAGGACCCACTGCACCGGGTGACACCACCCACAGTGGGCACATCACTCAACAATCAAGGAAATGCCCCATAGACGTGGCCCCATCCAATGGAGACAGCTCCTCAGTTGAGGTGCCCTCTACCTGGGTGTGTCGAGTTGACAACTGAAGCTGTCCAGCACTGCTGACTGGAATCTGCATGGGGTTATTAAGTAGCTGGCTCTTTCTATTTCTGGTGGGGGACTTTTGGAAAAGTATGACCTTGAAGAGGTCAGCCTGAGCTTAATCATAGGGTGGACATTTGGCAACCTTGGGTGCAGATGTCCTACCAGCTGAACTTCCTGGGAGGCACTGAGCCAAAGGGGTACTCGAGGGAAGGACTGCAGCCCGGTGGGACAGTTCCCTTGTCCTTGGTCAGAAGAGGACATATGCCTTAGTGAGGTCACCTGGCCATGTGAGAGCTACCAGAGTGGTGACAGTAGGTAAGACAGAAGTGGCCAAGGTGACCCTTATCCCAGAGAGTTTTTTTGTAAAGCTTCCTGCCTCCCAGGTCCGTCAGTCCAGCCTCTTCTGGGGTATTTGCTGAGCAGGGCGATGGGCATTGTTCTCTGAGCTCTTTGGTCTGTAAGGACACTGTCCTTTG